TATTTCATTAGATTTATCAAAATTTGTTGAGACATTTATCGAAAACTTTGTCGATTCTATATGAATATAATCGTGCATTTTGAATGCATTGGGCGCAATTTTTAAATTTTGTTCGATCACTAAATGATCTAACTTATCCCGAGTATAGTAAACCCATCTTCATGATCTCGATTCTTTTGAGGCATGAAATAGTGATCAGCCACCCATTGCTTCGGAATTATAACCTCTTGAATATTGTGAGCATATATTCGAGATGGAATCCATCACAGGTGAAAAAGAAAATTACAAAAAGATTCCCTTAAAAATTTAAATTTTTAAGCACCTATATTTTCCTTCTATTACAACTAAAACACCCGGGCAAGTGATTAAGAGCCCGTTTGAGCCCCATTATTTTGTTAAAATGCATTTTGCAACAGTGATTTTATAAAGAATGCGTGGTTAAAAAATAAGAAATTTTTTTTATTTTTGTGTAATATTATTTTATTGAAAAATGTGTTGTTGAAAATAAGAGAAAAATATATTTTGAAAATAATGTGGATCAAATAAGGGTTAAGTGATGTAATTTGTATCTACATACTAAGTTCTTATTGAAAATTACTCTTCCTCCATGTTCATTTTCAATCATAAATTCTCTTAAAAAAAACATTTTCCACATTTTTATACTTTTTAACCATAATTTTTTTTAAAAATAATACTTAAAAAGTTACTTTCACACAATACCTAGCACTTGTTATTTGACAAGAAGTTTACTTGCACGAGTTAATTGTCATTTGTATGAGGATAATTCTTGGTGTACATGAGGGGTTTCACGGAACCCCTCAAGAACACACGCAGTAGGTTGGGGCGGGGGGTGGTTTTGAATTTTTTATGAGGTGGTTCTCCACCTATTGTGTGTGTGTCCCGAAGGGGTTTTGTGATACATTTCCTGTACACCAATAATAATCCTTGGAAATAAGAATCTTGTAATAAGGTAGAAAGGTCGAGAGGATAGCAATCTCATTTGTGCCCCATTTTTTAAGAAATAGATTTTGTTCTCGTGATTAAAAAGTAAGAAATACTTTTGAGTCTATTTGTAAAATTATTTTATTAAAAGAATGTATAATTGAAAATGAGTTTTAAAAAAAAATATTTTTTTAGAAAACATAATTGAAGCATTGAATAATGCATTTTTTAATAGTTGATTAATGAAGAATGTGTAATTAAAAAATAAAGAAAAATATTTGAGTTTAAGTATAATATTATTCAGGGTCTGTTTGTTTTTTATTATCA